TCGTCATCATCATCATCATCACAAACATGATGATGATCACCATCATCGTCGTCGTTATCATCATCATCACAATTGTTGCCATCATCACCACCACAATCGTCATCATCATCGTCGTCTTCCTCATTCTTTGCAGCTCATTCCTTTAACATTGTTGTAGACCATCGTCATCATTATCTCCATCATCATCATTACCATCTTTATCACCATCATCATCGTCATTACCATCTACTGGCTACACTGATGATGATGAAAACATTATCGTTATATTTGCAGGTGATATATATATATATATATATATATATATATAATTTGTATATCACCAAGGGTTCGTTTTTGCACTCAACTTTTTTCCGTGTTAATTTAATTGATTTTTTTTTTTTCGTTTACCAGTTATTAATTAATTAATAATGCAATAATAGTTAATTAACGAGTTACTCAATTAATTATTTAATTAGCCAATTAATTAACCAATTATTAAATTAACTTACAAATTTATCCGTGTTTCTTTGCGGACGTTATCTGAAGTTATTCACTTCTTTTTAAATTTGGATGATGATAACAATAACGACAACAACAATAATAATAATTTAATAATAATAATAATTTAATAATAATAATAATTTAATAATAATAACAACTACAACAATAATAATAATAATTATCATTATATTAGTTTATTGATTGTAATATAAATTATGTTCAGATAGTTGTCAACACTTATTGCGATGTTTAATTATTATTATTGTTATTATTATTGTTGTTATTATTATTGTTGTTGTTTTTTCTCGTATTTCTATTTGTAATTTTTCTAATTTATTTTGAAAAAAAAAAGTTTTTTTGTTTTATTTTTACTCAATGTTTTTTCATTTAATTTTGTAGTTTTTTTCAGATAAATGCTTTCATTCTTTTACTATCTCTTTCGTTCGTTCATTCATTCATTCATTCATTAATGCATTTATTTAATTTTAAGTTAATTAGATTATTCATTCATTTATTTGTCTATTTCATTTATTGGTATTTTCACTCGTTCGTAGCCTTTTTGTTTATTTAATTAATTAATTAGTTTATTTATCCATTTATTCATTCATTTATTCAATCATATATTCGTTCATTCATTTATTCATTCATTCATTTATTCATTCATTCTTTTTTTCTACGTTTCAATCATTCGTTCATCTAACAAGCTGATTTACATATTAACAACCATCGTCATCATCATCATTCTTATAAAGACAATCTTCATCATCATTCTTATAAAGACAATCATCATCATCTTCCTCGTTCTTATAAACACAATCATCATTCTTTTAAACACAATCATCATCATCATCATCATTCCTACCAACATAACTATAATTACACAAGGATGGTGACTCTTGATACAGTGATACTGGCTAATAACTAATAGCGACTTTGAAAGTGACATTGAAATCAGGTCTTAAATGAGGATGGTCTTAAATGGGAAGAAATCATATTTACGGGCACATAAAAAATGGTACACAAGATGTACACATTATTTTCTATTACTAAATGTACACTGCGTTGTGTTATATTCATACAACGTATAATTTGGAAAAACCATACGTATTTTATTGTTAAACTCAAAAATTTAATTTATTTTGTGGAAAATATGAAGTAAGTGGAGCTTGGACAACTGTTGACGTCTTTCTAAGATGTCCTGTTTGAATTCGACCATGAAAATTTTTAAAAAGTTCTGGAATGCTTTTAAAATGCACGAACACGAACACAAAACGAATCAACTGTTGGGTACTTTTGGCAGTGTAAAAGTGGTAAATTTGAAGTTTTAATGATAATTTTTTGTGATTTTTAAGGTCGTTTGTCGAGTTCTTGAGGGAGTCGTAGAGCGGGGGTAAGGCTTAATGTGAAAACAATCCGTCAGAAACAAAACGGTCGGGGTGGGAGAGAGGGTCGTAGATCGGGGGGGTCGTTGGGCAGGAATATCGCTGTACTACATATAGTACCGATGGAGTTACTGGTAGTAATTATAATAATGATTAGGGTGATGTAATAATTATTACTGTTGTTATTATTATTGCTATCGCAATTATTATATCTTTCTAAACACTAAGTTACTCACGCACGCACACACACACACACACACATGTTACGTGCTGTAATGTTACTTATCGAGTGCGTTTTAAAAAAATAATTTTACATTGATCGCTACATTAATATATAAACACACGTGTGTTTGCTTGTATGTGTGTATGTGCGTATGTTTATATCTCTCTGCGTGTGTCTATATATTAGCGTGTTTGTGTGGGATTGTATAGGTTTATGTATGTCTCTGTGTGTGTGTGTGTGTGTGTGTAATCTAGATACATATATAGACACACAAAGATGTAAATATATATATATATTAATATATATATATATATATAGTATTATATATGTATATATAATATATATTATTTATGTGCATATATATAGCTAGTTGTACAAATTTTAAAGAAACTTATTATTTTATTTATTATTGATT